GGCAGTTATGGGGCAGGGAGTCTTCCATGGGGTGAGGGGGATGGGGGACCCAATGCTCAGTGGGTTGGGATCGTGTTATCCCAAATATAGGGCAGTTATGGGGCAGGGGGTTCTGTGGGGCGATGGGGATGGGGGAGCCCATGGTCAGGGGGGTTTGGGGTCGTGGTGCCCCACATATAGGGCAGTTATGGGGCTGGGGGTCTTTTGGGGAATGGGATGGGGAACCCAATTCTCACTGCATTTGGGGTCTTGGTTTTGGGGCACTTATGGGGCAGGGGTTCCTGTGGGGATGGGGAAGCCAATGGCTGGGGGTCTTTTGGGGTTGGGTGGGGGCACCCAATTCTCGCAGGCTTTGGGGTCGTGGTTTTGGGGCACCTATGGGGCAGAGGTTCTGCTTTGGGGATGGGGAACCCAACGGTGGACGGGTTTGGGGTCCCACATGTGGGGCAGCTGTGGGGCTGGGGGTCTTTTAGGGTTGGGGTTGGGGGCACCCAATTCTCGCTGGCTTTGGATCGCGCTTTTGGGGCACCTATGGGTCAGAGGTTCCCCTTTGGGGATGGGGAACCCAATGGTGGATGGGTTTGGGGTCCCACATGTGGGGCAGCTGTGGGGCTGGGGGTCGTTTGGGGTCATGGGGTTGGGGAACCCAATGGTGGACGGGTTTGGGGTCCCACATGTGGGGCAGCTGTGGGGCTGGGGGTCTTTTGGGTTTGGGTGGGGGCACCCAATTCTCGCATGCTTTGGGGTCGCCCTTTTGGGGCACTTATGGGGCAGAGTTTCCCCCTCGATGTCGGGACGCCACGCATGGAATCCACCCCCAACCCGCAGCGGCGCCGCGCCTCCAGCACCCAGATTTGGGGCGGGGGTCCCAACGCCGCCCCCCCCCCATGACCCCCCCCGCCCCCCAGGTGCTGCTCCTACGTGGGGCGGCGCGGGGGGGGCCCGCAGGCCATTTCCATCGGGAAGAACTGCGACAAGTTCGGCATCGTGGTGCACGAGCTGGGCCACGTCATCGGCTTCTGGCACGAGCACACGCGGCCCGACCGCGACCAGCACGTCGCCATCATCCGCGACAACATCCAGCCAGGTGCCCCACATCGCCCCCCCCTGCGCCCCACACCGCTATGGGGCGGCCCCACAGCGCTGCGCCCCCCAACCGCGCCGCCGCCGCCCCGCAGGGCAGGAGTACAACTTCCTCAAGATGGAGCCGGAGGAGGTGGAGTCGCTGGGGGAGACGTACGACTTCGACAGCATCATGCACTACGCCCGCAACACCTTCTCCAGGTGCTGCCCCACTGCGCCCCACTGCGCCCCATAGCGCCCCATAGCGCCCTGCTTTGCCCTGCCCCACTGCGCCCCACTGCGCCCCATAGCGCCCCATA